GGGGGGGGGGGATTTAATGGGACAATGATGGTAATGGCTGTTGTATGGACCTGGGAGCGGACGCTGGGGGATGTAGGCTTGGGGGACGCTGTCTCAGACCCCCGCCCAGGACTACCTCCCCCTGCAGCTGCGGCTCAGCCCCGCTGACCTTGGCTCCTGCCCGCCCTGTGGCCCCTGCCCCATCCCGAAGCCGGCCGCCAGAGGCAGGCGCCAGGCAAGTGCCCAAGGGCAGGCAGTGAAGCCTGGAGCCCCGGCCAGGGGGGAGCAGGGAGGGGACCGCGATCGCCTGGCCCCACTCTCCTCTGGGTGTGCCCTGTAGAGCCAGGAGTGGGGCAAAAGTGATGATCGACTGCTACAGGCGGTGGAGAACGACGACGCTGCACGGGTGGCCACTCTCATCACCCGCAAGGGGCTGGTGCCCACGAAGCTGGACCCCGAGGGCAAGTCCGCGTGAGTGCCCACACCCTGGGGGTGGAGGGATGAGGGGCGGCCATCCTGCCGCTGATCCCTGGCCTCCGACCTCCAGATTCCACCTGGCTGCCATGCGGGGAGCAGCCAGCTGCCTAGAGGTGATGCTGGCACAGGGCTCCAACGTCATGAGCACCGATGGGGCAGGTACTGCCTGCTGGGCCCCGGGGGAGGGATGAGGAGCTCAGACCGGGGGCTCAGCCCGCAGGTCCACTCAGGTCCCGCTCCCTGGCTTCAGCGACCTGCTGAAAAAGCGGGGGTTCCGTTCAGTGCCCCCCACCCCGGGAGGCACAGGGACTTGTCAGGCTGCAGTGAACAAGAAAAAAGACTATGTAGCTGGCACCAATCAAGGTGAGTCGACAGCTCGTGGGCGGGAAGTGGCCAGGACTCAGATAGTGGTTAAGGCAGAGGAATTAGCTGGAACAGAGGATTCCCTGAGCTTGAGAAGTACCTGGGGAGGGGAGAATAACAAGTGGAATTTGGGGGGAAGGGGGAGGGAGTATCTGACGTATGGGGAGTAGCTGGGGTTTAGGGATTAGCTGGGAGGAGCTGGAGCCAAAGGAGAGTCTGGGTGTATGACTTAACGAGGGCTCTGAGGGAATGTCTGAGACAGAAGGCGTGGCCAAAGGGAGTGGCTGGGGCTCTGGAAGTAACTAGGGGGGGAGCATAGCCCTGGCTGAAACTTCCGGACATCGTAGGAGGCACAGGCCGCCCGTGGGATAGCAAGGGTTTGTGGATTAGCGGGAGCATACGCAACAGCGGGATTCCGAGGGACAGGGCTGGAGCTGCATGTTGTCGAGCACGGAGGGTGGCTGGGGACATGGGGAGGAGGGGCTGGGGACATGGACCGTGGCTGGGGCAATAGGGCCTCAGAAGTGGGAGGGTGTGGAGTATAGTCGAGATGAGAATATCTGGGACACAGACTAGCTGGCCCCTGGAGAGTCTCCAGCTACGGGGAGTAGCACGGTTTGGAGAAGTACCTGGGCTTTGGGTCGTTCACGGGACACAGAAAGTCCTCGCAGATAGTTGACACAGATTTGGGGAGCAGCCAGAAGCTCCTTGAGTATGTGGAACCCTAGCGAACCCTCCCTGCCTTTCAGGTTACAATGCCCTCCACCTGGCGGCCAAGTATGGGCACCCACAGTGCTTGGAACAGCTGCTACAGGTCATTTACCCCCTCGTGTCAGATACTCCCCTAACGGAGATACTCCCTTCCCCTGGCTACCCCTGACTTCTAGCAGTTCCCTGAACCGCACCCCCCACCACCAGATACTCCCTGAATCCTGGGTGTGTTTTAGCCTCCTTTGCTCCTGAGCTCCAGCTACTCCCTGGACAAGCAGATACTCCCTGAGTGTCCAGATACTTCACACACCCGAGATATGCTCCCAACACCAGGCATCTCCTGAGCCCCAGCTTCTCCTCAAACCCTAGGTGGTGGCTACAGCCACTCTCGGAGCTCTCGTCAAGCCCCCAAGCCCCCAGCTGCTCCTGAACTCCCAATGAGTCCCTCTGTCACCAAATTTCATGAAAAAGCGAAGAGAGTCACTTGGGAGTCCATGAGGAGGTGGGGTCCGCGGAGCGGGCACGGGGGAGGGGAGAGATAGGTAGGTAGGGAGCCTGAAATACTGCAGAGCCCAAGAAGGGGCGGGTCCCAGTTCCTGGAGAGCCTCCAACGACCCACACCCCTCCCTCCCCAGGCGTCCTGCGTCGTGGATATCGTGGACAGCAGTGGATGGACAGCCCTGCATCATGCAGGTGGGTGCAGCCCAGCTTTGCCCTGCCCACCATGACCCAGAGGGTGCTGGGCTTGGGATTATTCTACTCCGGGTCCTGGGGGACTGGCCGCGAGTGTTCTGCCTCCTTCCTCCTTTTTCCTCACCGAGTCCCTGCTGTGCGCGAGTCCCCGGGCTCAGCATTAATCCTCAGGAACACCTTGAGCCCCAGTCACCCCATCGGACAGGCAAGGTGGTTGAGGCTCAGCCACGAGAAAGCGGGGAAGACTCAGGCTGTCTGACCCCCAAGCACCAGGCCTGGGCGAGAACGATGGTGGTGGTAAGGACAGTGACCAGAATGTACTTTCCTAGGGAGTCTCAGGAAGGGCAAAGATCCAAGCATCCTTCATAGTCCTTGAATCCAAACTCCTTCCTGAGGGAGGCCAAGGAACCCGCCCGCTTGAACCAGAACCCAACCCGGCATCTGTCCACCATGCCCATGAGATCAGGCTCATGACTCAAGAAATGCCTGACCTTTTGGAAACACAGAATAAGCTGGGATTTGCTTTGGGGGTTTTAATCGTGGGTTGAAACTTCCGGGCAGTTGGCGTGTGCTGCCACCTAGTGGTCACACTGTGGAAGCTCAGCCGGTTATTTCATTCAATAAATATTTAAGTTCGTGCGATGTGTCAGGCTCTGTTCCAAGCACTGGGATTGCAGC